AGTTCAGAGAAGGGGAACCTTGGCAGAATGTCACAGGCTCCCTGAGGTGATCAAGTGAAGCTGAAAAGTGGGGGGGGCGCCCCAGGCAGCTATGCAAAGAACACTGGGGGGCGGGGAGAACTCTGGAGATCTGCAGAGGCTCCCCCTTGAGTACTTCCCAGCGTAGTGGTCAGTGAGGGGGTGGGGGAGGAACTACCAGAAGCTAGAGAGATAACCACTTGAAAGGATTAGAATTAACAATGCCCGGTGTTCACCGGGGGCCCAGGAATAGTGCCTGTTTCCAGCAGCCAGACTGGAAAAACTCAAGATTCACAGAGCACTGGGTAGCATGTTCAGAGAAGTCTTGTCTCAGGCGGGCCGCCTAGGAGGCTCAGTCCATTAAGCGTCTGCCTTAGGCTCAGGTCATGATCCCAGAGTCCCAGGACAAAGTCCCACTAAGTCCAGCCTTGGGCTCCCTGCTCAGCGGGGAGTCTGCTTCTCCCTCTGTCCATCCCCCCTGCTCATGCATGCACTCTCTCTCTCTCTCAAATAAAAATCCTTAAAAAAAAAAAAAAAGTTCTTGTTTCAGCAACAGGAAATAATTGTTCCTAGACTGAGAAGTGCTCCAGTCCTGTCTAACAAATCTCTCTTTTTTTTTTTTTTTAAGATTTTACTTATTTACTTGACAGAGAGAGATACAGCAAGAGAAGGAACACAAGCAGGGGGAGTGGGAGAGGGAGAAGCAGGCTTCCTGCTGAACGGGGAGCCCGATGCAGGGCTCGATCCCAGGATCCTGGGGACCATGACCTGAGCCGAAGGCAGACGCTTAACGACTGAGCCACCCAGGCGCCCATGAAAATATCCATTTCTAAGTAATTTCGCTGCATTCCAAATAAAGCTCAAGAAAATTTCTAGGAAAATATCAAACATCCAGGTAAAAGTCACAGTGTCTGGTATCCAGTCAAAGAATACCCAACACTCAAGGAGCATGAAGATACAACGCATAAGGAGGAGAAGAGCCAATCAATCCAAAGAACTGACACAGGTGTTAAAATCACTGGCAAGAATATTAAAACAGCGATTATAACTGTAAGCTATACATATGTACTCAAAAGTTAAGTACAGATATTGAAGACGTAAAAAGACCCAAATCAAACTTCTAGATATATAAACTACCACGTGTGAGATGAAGAAAAGACAGTGACTGCGGGGATTAACATTATGTTAAACATGGCGGAAGGAAGAGATGGATGAACTTAAAGACATGACAATAAAGAAAAAAATTACCAGAATGAAACACAGAGAGAAGAGGGAGTATAAAAAAATATAACACCGTGGGCTCGTGGCACTTCCACAAGGGAGAGGTGCTGTGTGGGAGAGACAAAAATGTTTAAAGAAATAATGGTCAGGTGCCTGGGTGGCTCAGTTGGTTAGGCGACTGCCTTGGGCTCGGGTCATGATCCTGGAGTCCCGGGATCGAGTCCTGCATCGGGCTCCCTGCTGGTGGGGAGTCTGCTTCTCCCTCTGACCCTCTTCCCTCTTGTGCTTTCTGTCTCTCATTCTCTCTCTCTCAGATAAATAAATAAAATCTTTAAAAAAAAAATAAAAATAAATTTAAAAAAAGAAAGAATGGTCAAACATTTTTCCAAATTTAATTAAAAAACGATTACCCCAGAGATCCCAGAAGCTCAACGAATGCCAAACAAATGAAGCTAGACGGAAGCACAACCTAATCAAGTGGTGCTCCAAACCAGTAATAATGTGAAGAGGAACACGGGGAAGTGTGACAGTAGATACCTCATCAGAAACAACACGAGCACCATTCTCAGCTGAGGTCAAGATGACGCCATGCCTTCCAGTTTCAGCTCTCATAGCGTAAACACTTGTTCCCAGTCTACCATGTGCCATATTTTTCCATTTTTGTGCTTTTTTTTTTTTTTTGCTGCTGATTTTGCTGTTTAAAATGATCCCCAAGCAAAAAAATAAAATAAATAAAATGATTCCCAAGCATATTGCTTAGGGGCTATCTCGGGTCGCTAAGGACTCCGGCTGTGATGTGCGTCGCAGAGAAAAGACATGTTAGGTGAGCTTCACACGGGTATAAATTACACTTCTGTGTGCCCTGAGTTCAGTAATAGTGAATCAACTGAGTGTATTAAATAAGGTGTCTTTAGCCAGAAACAAACAGAAAATAAAGCTACATACTGACCACCTGGTGACAATGTTGTACAGCAAGACTCCCAGGAATCTACTCCTGTATTTCTCTGAGGAGCAGTTGTTCAGTATTTGCTAATTCAGTGCTCATGGCTACTTCACAGAACATAAAAACCAAAAAAAGAAAGAAAGAAAAGAAACACGTTACTTTTAGCAGCTGGGTTTGGGGTGATTGGTTACTCAGCAATAGGGAACTGAAACCCTTATTGAAACTCACATTGTCCCATGTTGGCTGGACCAAGTGTCTCAGATGGGGTTCCCCGGAAGCAGATCCTGAGCGGGAACTGTATGGGAGGGTCTGTGTGGAGGAGTGCTCTCGGGAGATATGTGGGTAAGCGAGCAAGGGAGGCAGAACTGGGCAATGGCAGAAGCTGAGCTACAGTGCATTTGCAACTGAGGTCTCAGCTGATCCTCCAAGAAGCCCTTCCAAGTTGGCCCCAAGTGAGGCAAGTAGGCTGGGCGACACCTGTCCAAGGGTGGGATCCTGAGCGCATCCCTTCCCTCGGCCGAGTGCAGCTTTTGGGAAGGCTGCAGCTGAGGCAGTATTTTCAGGAGCTGGGAGAATGATGTGCTTTCTCTGCAAGGGGGAATGCCGTGGCAACACCGCCTGACCCCCGGGGTACCACTTCCTGTTGGCTCCTGAGTCCTTCTAATGTGATCCTGGCCGTTTGGATGGCTTCCTCGCCATCCGGTATGACATGACGTTTTCGTCTCCTCCGACACATTCCCTGCTCCACACCTGGACATTCTGCAGACCGCTTTCCCAAGAGGCCCTGATTTCTTTTGGGGGGAAATTGTATTTCAAGACCGCAATCTGGGCCCTAGGAATACTCCTTGCTAGATGTCGCTTGCTTCTTATGACCAGAAACCCCCAGCACTTTTTGTTTTGTTTCTTTTTAAATTCTAATATTTTTAGGAGAACACATTGCCCACCCCTCAACCTCCTTCTTTGCCCGTGTCATCTATATCTTTCAGAGGGTGGTTCTGCCCAGCCACCACCCAGCCCCTGACCTGAGTAAGAGTCATCCTACCCACGGGCTCTCCCCTCCACCTGCGGTCCACGTCTTATTCGCAGCCGCAGCCCAGTGCCTAACTCACAAAAGGTATTCCACAAATATTGGTTGAGAAGACTAAAAGTGGCTACCACTCTCCTGGCAGTTGGCATCCCACTCACAGGGAGGCTCTGCCTAGCGTTTCTGGTAGCCAGAGGCAGATCTTCAGTAACTAAGCTGCTGGACTAAATTCCTGTCTCCAACCCCCAGCAAGAACCACATGCTAATATCAGCATGCCACAGGGCATCCCATCTGGACCATACACTTCCCAGAGTCAGGGACTGTTCCTACCGCTGGGACTGTGACTCCTGGCTAGCCAGTTGTGGGATTCCCTCTTTGCATTTACTGAGTTTAGCTGTAACCAGCTGGGGTTTGCAAAGCAGAGTGTCCCACCCCGGCCTCCCTCAGACAGCAGGTGGGACTATCCCAGACTGCTCGCTGAGGTCCTGGATAACTGGGAGTGTTAGCACTGACCATTTGGCAGGATGGGTAGGCAAGGGAGAGAGAGGCTAGGGGATGATCAGCAGCCAGTACCAGGTGACTGTGGGACACTAGATCGGGTGATTGGGAAAAAGAAACTATATACACACACATACACACACACACAGAGCCAGGCCCTTCCACCTCCCCTCCCCGTGTGGGAGCTCTTTGGGCTCAAGGCGGCCTGACACCCAGCCCACGGTGTCTCCTCAAAGCATGTCTGTTACACGGCAGCAAGGAGAGACACGAGGCTGTGTGAGTGGGGCATGCCCCAGTCTCTGTCCCCTCGCCCCCCTGCTCCTGACTGCAGGGGCTGCCAAACTCAACTATAACACTTCCAGCCAGAGATGCTGATGGCTCTAACAGGAGGACAGGCAACAGGACTCACAGGCTAAGGCCATCCATCAGATTTACAGCAAGGTAGACAAGCTCCCCACCTCTGACTCTTCTAGAGTTTACTGGACACCATGAAATGCTTTTTAAGCTACACCGGAGACTAGTTCTCTACAGAGTATGGTATATGCAACACTCCAGAACTTTCAGGAGACCAGAGCTTCAGAATAAATAAGAATGCACTCCAAACATTTATTCAGTTCTGCGATCTCCGCACTCCATCACTGCCTCCACGCACCTCGGGGTGAGCCTGGATGGGGCCACTCGGGACTGAGGAAGGGGGCCCCATCACGGGGCTGCCCCAGGAAGGCCTGTGTGCCACAGGCTGGCCACGCACGGCTGGATCCGCGCGGGGGGCAGGGGAAATGTCTCCCAGCCCCAGACAGCCCAGTCAGATGTGGAAACCCCAGGCCTCACAGCTCAGCAGGGACATGGTGATGCCTCCTCCCTCTCTCTGCACAATCTGCAAGCTGCCCGCTTCGACCCAGTCTCGGGTGACAGCCTGAGACCACAGCCAGGTCCAAGGCTGCCTCACTGCTCATGAGGCGTCTTCTCTGGTGGAGGCTCTCCAAGATGGCAAGGAAGCACCGGGCTCCACCTGGCAGGTCGGCTGGCTCTCGGGCTGGGATGCTTGACCCCCCTCCTTCGGGGCAGGCAGGGCACAGCCAAGGTCGTGGGTGTGGCCGAGGCAGGTGACCGGGGGCATAAGGCTGGGACACTTTCGGGGCTCCAGCCTCGCTGCCACTTTCTACTGTGGGGCTCTCTCCAGGCTCAGTGGACGCCAAGCAGAACTGGAGGAAAGGGCATTTGAGTAGGAGTGGGGGGTCGGAGGAGAGGCCCAGTGCGAGACCCGGAAACAGGAGGGGGGTGGGCCGGGGTGCTCACGGGGCCACCAGGGTGCCCAGGGGCAGCAGCAGACACAGAAGTGGGAAGGAGCCTGCTGAGTCCCAAGAGCAAGCCTGACTCAAGTGATCAATGACCCAGTCCTTGTAGAAACTAACTTCTGTATAAACTCCAGGATAATTTCTGCGACCGCAGCCAATGCCCCAGCTCACAATCCCCACCTGGACCCATGTTTCATTAAGTTCACAGACCAGGGGCCCCCCAGAGTCTCCCTGGAGAAAGAGGAAAAAAGCAAACACAGGAATGGAAGAGAATCAACATCAGAACTGGCGGATCGTGCTGCAAGGCTTGGGGAGACAGGCACACGTGGGGCTTCCCCAGGACCCTCCCTCCCCCAGGCATCCACCAGCCCTAGGTTCCTGGGAATATCAGATTTAAGGGTTGAAAATTCAGCAAACAAAATTATACGTATGCAAAAAATCATGTACAAAAAAAATGGAATATAAACAAAGAAAATGTCCATACTCTGAGCTAATCATAATGAAGAACGTCTTTACCTGAGCACACTGCCGGTCACATAGAAAGGGGTACGAAACATGTGACTTGCATTTTTTGTATTTTCTGCCTGAATCTCCCCTCCTCTCCCAACCCCCTCCAGGCAGCACCAGGTCCTCCTGCTAAAGGATCCAGGCAGGCCAGCCCTGGCGAGCCTGGCAGCTTGTCCCCTTGAGTCCCCTTGCCGTGAATTAAGGGTGAATGGAGGGGCTGCTGGATAACACGGGCCCCGCTGCCTGTCAGGGGACCACAAAATGGCAAGACGGCCAAGGGCCCATGAACTCACCTGGCAGGCATCCTTTCCTTGGGCATTGTAACCACAGACTGTCCCTTCCTTGACTATGTCACTAGTAGTTTCCATCTGGGTTTGGAGCATTGTGTTACATTTCTCATAACGGATAATGTTTAGCTCAGCCTCCTGTAGCCTTTCGGCAGCTTCTTTGGACTGATCTGTAGAGATAATTTAGGAGTAGGTGGATCTGCCTAATGGAACGGGACAGGAGCCCCTCATACCCACTCTTGGTCTCAATACAGTGTGTTCACATACAGACACCCCATTAGGGGAGTGACTGTGGTCCCCGTTTGACACCGAAAGAGATGAAGCCCAAAGCTGACTTGGGGAAAGGAGGAGGTAGGATTCAAAACGAGACCGGAGAAGGAACAGATCAGGACAGGAAGAGCTGAGGCCTTCCCAGCCCTGAGAAATCAAAACCAAACTCCCTGTCACTCTGCGTATCCTTAGTAATCGTGACAGTTGTCCTGTGCATCAGTGAAGGGACTTTACTTTTGAGCAGGATCATAAACTCTTGGACAAGTAGCGTCCCAAAGGTACCAAATCCAACCTCTCCCCAGGGATGGGAGGCCCAACAGCCTCACCACGAGGAGTTCTCTGGGCTCTTTTCACTCACAGGAAGCTCCCCGTCCACCAAGGCAAGGACTTGCAGTTTGGGACGGCTCCCATGAGCAGACACATCAACACCAACACCCCACCGGCTAAAATCCACCCTAGAGAGAACCCACTTTGCTTGTCACCTGAGACCCCAGGTCCTGAAATTCTAATCGAAATCTGAAACACCATCAAATTACTCCCTACCAGCATCTTCTCCACCCCCCTCCCTTCCCCGCTTGCTAGAAAATGGCCTCCTTGCCTCCCCTTTTAGCTTGCAAGCCAACCACAGGGCACGAGGCAGCCTCTTGCCTGGCCTGAGCTTCAAGTCTTGCTTCAGTCTTACCTGCTTCGTTGAGCTTCCCCCATCCAGTCACCCAGCACTCTGTACCAGCTTGTACCATGAACGCCTTTTTAGGGAGGCACACGGGCTGGATGTGGGAGGAAAAATTCACGGGGAACTCAAGCAGAACCAGGGCAATGTCATTCTCAATTAATCCAATAGGATTGTAATGTTGGTGAATAACGATGTCTCGGACGGGGATCTCGACTGCCATTCTGGAGGTATGCTTCATGAAGATGTCTCCCAGCTTTGCCGTGTACTCCACATGGCTGCAGAGAGATCCTAGAGGCTCTACACTCCCCTTCCACATCTTCTGGGCCTTCCCAGCCTGGGCCTCTCTCCATCAACCGCTTCCCTCCCCCCATCACCATGTCCCATCCCTGGACCCCTGGTCAATCTATCCAGTGGTGCTCCAAGGCTGGCCCCCGGGGTGAGGAGCGTCAGCGTCACCTGGGAACGCGTTAGAGATGCCGATGCTCAAATCCCACTCCTGATCTACTGCATCAGAGACGCTGGGGGTGGGGGCCAGGCAATCTGTGTTTTAACAAGCTCTGCAGGTTTATCCAGGCTCGAAAGTTTGAGACCCCCGATCTAGCCACATTGGTCTACTACACTCCACTCTTCTTAAATATTCCCCCTCGCCAGTCTTTGCCCACACACTGCCTCTCAACTGGCATCCCTCCCATTTCTTGCCACTTGGCTTGAAGGCTAATCAGCACGAGCTTTGAACCTGATTTGGGGTCTTGACTTTTCAGGCTACCAAGGGCCCTACCATCACCTTCCTCTGACTGCAGTGTGAAGAGCAGAGTCTACGACCCCCTTTCTCAGATGAGGAAGAGGAAGCTCGGGGAAGGGGACAGGACGGGCTCCAGATCACAGAGCCCCAGACACTCACCCAAATATGCAGTGGGCGGCGGTCAGCACCCACCGACTGGCAATGAGGGAGCCTCCACACATGTGTTTATCATTGATCTGCAGGCTCACCTGCCAGGGCCACTTCCGCTCTGCGGCCGGCAGTCCCCCAACTATCCTCATAGACCTCTGGCCGCATCCTGCAGCAGGTCAACGAAGGGAGGGGACTGAAAGAAAGCCACTGACAGCACCACCCGCAGAGCCGGATAATGCTCAGAAGTCTCAGAACCCCCAAAGCAAGGCCATGTCCCCTCAGACCGCCCACCCCACCCCCAGAGCAGCTCTGTATCCCCTAAGGCTCCTCAGAGAATGGCCACATGTCCCCTCCGAGCTCAAGCGCAGGGCTGGGGGTCACTCCGAACCCCCCTCCCCTGGGAAAAGCCATCTCCCATGAGGCCCTCCCCCAGAGCACGGTCCCGGCCCCCGCGGCCCCCGCGGCCCCCTCGGCCCCCGCGGCCCCGGCCAGTTGTCCCCGGCAGGGCCTGGCCCAGAAACATCACCTGAAGGAAACAGCGGCTTTGCTGTGGTTAGTGGCTTTGCCATGGCCCCAGCCCTGTAGGAGCCAGAGGCACCTGGGGTGACCGCCACCACTTGAGGGGATGCGGGGGGCTCTTGGGGCCCGGGGGTCGCAGATGGTCCCTCAGCCTTCCACACGCTCGCGCCGGGGCCCTCGCGGCCGCCCCCCGACGACGACGGGGAGGTGGGCGCCGGGGACGGTGGGGGCGGCGCGGACCCCCCCTCCGCCTCACGGGGCCAAGGCTGGAGGAGCAGGAGCCAGAGCAGGAGGCCCAGGGAGCCGCCGGTTGGGGACGCCATGGGCCCGCCCGCGCCGCGCCTCTCGCCGCGCCCTCTCGCGGCGGCCCGCGGCCCTGCGCTCGCGCGGGCGGGAAACTGGGTCCCGCCGCGCCCCCTGGGGGGCCTGACCGTCGGGGAGGCTCTTCATCCGGGCACCGACCGCCGCGGCCGGGCGTGCAGCGCGCCTCGCCCCCCTCCTCCCTTGCCTGCTCGCCGCCGAGATCTGGTCCGCCCGGCGGACTCGAACGCGCTGCCCCGGGCGGCACCGAGCGCTGCCTTGGAGATGACACTGCCCCTCCGCGGGAACAGAGCCCTGAGCCAAGTGCAAATGGAAAGCACAGTGAGATGTCACGACCCACGGAACAGACTGGCGAAGATAAACAGTCGTACAACACCCAGTACTGATGCGGACGCAGAGGTACTGGATCACTCAGACGTTGTGGTAGGAAAGTAAAATACTACAGCCACTCCGGAAGACAGACTGGCAGTTTCTTATAAAACAAAATATGCAATTCTCATACGACCCAGTCATTGCATTCCTGGGCATTGACCCCAGAGAAATAAAGCTGTATGTACATACACACACACACACACACACACACACACACACACACCCCTGTACGAATGTTTTTAGTAGCTTTATTCTTAATAGCCAACATCTGGAAACAACCCTGTAGTAGACAGAATACTGGCTTCCCAAAGATGTCCGTATCCTAATCCCTGGAACCTGCGAATATGTTACGTTACGTGGCAAAAGGAATGTGAGTAAATTAAAAATGCTTGAGCAGGGACATTATCCTGGAGTACATACATAAAAGTGGCCACAATGTCTTGCAGTTCCTCCTATCAAGAAATGAAGTCAGGCTGTGGTATGAGCAGCCTATCCCTTGGGCTATATGACCCTGCAAACCCCATGGTGCTAGAGTTTGCTGTGGTAAAATAAAAATGCTGGAAGGAGTCTCTGCTATGTCCTAATTATAGAGTCACAGCATGGACTCCTGCAGTACTGGAGCAAGACCACACTGTCTGCAGCTGACAAATTTGAAAAGCAACTCCTAGCACCCTACTGCACCCCGGAAGGAAACTAACTGCCAGACCAAAGAACATCAAGGAACTGAGAGTCTCATGCCTCCTATCATAAAGTAGATATTCAGCCAGACTAAACAAGCCATAAACTCGGCTGGACAAAGTAATTCATCGTTCAATGGACAGGAGACATTTGGAATCAGATTATTATGACAGGTCTTGAAGACACAAGTAAGTTGCACAAAAATAATGGCCTAGACCTCCATATCCCCTGCTTGTATTGAATTAAAGTTTCTCCCTCAGTTCGTACCCATAGCCTTTTAAGGAGTATCCTATGACCAGCTGATGAAAGGAAAAAACCAAGGCCTAGTTCACAGTTGGACTTAAAATCTCAGTGCCAGTTGAAAACAGACTGTTGTTGCACTAGAACCTCACTCAGGGGTGGCCCTGAAAGGCAGTGATGAGGAGAAATCCTGTGCATAGAGCTTCAAACAGTACACCTGGTCATCAACTTGGTGTAAAAAGAGAAGTGGGCTGAATAAGAATATACATGGACCCCTGAGCAGTGATGAATGGGGTGTTTGGTTGGTCAGGGGCTTAGAAAGAGCAAAACTCCATGATCTGGGGGAAGAAGCACATGAATGGACCTATGGCAGCAGAAACAAAGTGTGTAGCCTTGGGATGCCTGGGTGGTTCAGTGGGTTAAGCATCTGCCTTCAGCTCAGGTCATGATCCCAGGATCCTGGGATTGAGTCCCACCTCGGGCTCCCTGCTCACGGGGAGTCTGCTTCTCCCTCTCACTCTGCCTCTCCCCCAGCTTGTGCACACACACGCTCTCTCTCTCTCAAATAAATGAATAAAAATCTTTTTTAAAAAAGTATGTAGCCTTTTCTATTCTGCACCAGTGCCCACCAATGTGTAGCCACTCAACAACCAAGTGGATAGGATGACTCCTCCACTAGAGATCAGCTAACACTTGTCCTTGTCAACCTCCATGCTTGCCCAGTGTGTCCATGAACAGAGTATTGTGTTGGCAGGATTGGAGGCTATTCATTCACCCAATAAAGCAACGTGAGTTTCCTCTTACCAAAGCTGGTATAGCTACTACTCCTGCTGAATGTCCAATCTGTCAGCATCAAGGTCAACACCAACCCCCTGAAATGCTACATCCCTGAAGGAAACCAACCAGCTATTTGTTGGCAAGATGATACCGATTTCTTTCCACCCCGGAGGGCTAGCACTTCATTCTTACTGGGATTAACACATTTCAGTACTCGGTAGTACTATGTTATGTAGGATCCCAAGATGCTAAATCAGACACTCCGTGAGTCCACTGATAGTGGTGCTGGCAAAGACATTATAGGTAGACAACACTTTACATCTTTCCAATAATTAAATACTTTTGTGACAACAGGAGTGATATAAGTAAATGTGATTTTTTATATTGTGTAATGAAACGTGTCAACATTTGGAAAATCTACATAACTACATAACTAAATCTACATGACATAGTTTTCCAAAGATTTTACAAAATTAGATATGGTACAAGATCCATTCAAGGTGAAAGACCAATAAATTTTAATGGAATGGGTACAAAAAGTTCAAAGAGTTTCATATTCTACATTACAAGATATTTAAAAATGGGAAGTCTTTAATATTTCCTGGCAACACTACCATTTCTGGCCCACCTCATGTCTGTGCAGACCAATTTCCATCTGATATCATTTTCCTTCAACCTGAAGAACTTCAGAATCTCTTCAAGTCCAGGAAGGAATTCGCTCAGCTTTTGTTTTTATAAGTCTTTACTTCAATTTCATATTTGAAAGATATTTTCATTTGATGTAGAATTCTACCCTGACTCACTTGAGGATGATCTTCTCTCTACTATTTTCTAAGTTGCATTGTGTCTGGAGAGAAGTCTGCAGTCATTCTTATCTTTTTTTTTTTTTTTTTTTAAGATTTTTGATTTTTAAGTAATCTCTACACCCAACGTGGGGCTCAAATCCACAATCCCAAGATCAAGAGTCACAAGCTCCACTGACAGAGGGATTCCTGTACAGCAGGGATTGGCCAACTTGCCCTGTAAAAGACAGACCGTAAATATTTTAAGCTGTGCAGGCCACACATGGACTCTGCCATATATTCGTTTTAAAAAGCAACTCTTTAAAACTGTGTAAATCATTCTTAGTCCTATACAAAAGCAGGCTGTGTCTGGAATTGGCCCACAAACCATAGCATGGTAACCCCTGCTCTACACGATTCTGACCTGCAAACTCCAGATGCCTAGCCTTCCTGAGCCCCAATCTGTCTCCTTAACTTAGTGATATCATTGTGTTCTGTTCGGGTTTCTCTCCCTGTTTCATGTGAAAATTGCCTCTGCTTAGGAAGCCAGGAGAATTGTAGGGTTCATCTCACTTGTTACCCTTCTCTCTAGGGTCATAGTCCTACATTGTCATACAATGCTCTTAATAATTCTAATTTTCCAAAAAAGTAGAACAACCGGGTTCCTATGTATACTCTTGGTGTATTTTCACTTTTGATAATGAATAACTCTGCTTCATTGTGTGTCTTTTGAATTACCTGTGTCATCTGCAAGAGTTATGACCTTGGATGTCAATGATTCATGTATAAACCTATTTTTCTTAACTCATGATGCCAGTTTTCAAACTAATTTTACCAAACTACACTCCCACCATCAGTATATGAGTCTTTCTATTAATCTCCATCTTCTCAACACTTACTGCCACAGTTCTGTTTTTTCTCATATGGTGGGCATAAAATTATATCTTGGTATGGTTTTAATTTGCATTTCCCTGGAGTATATTTTCATATCTTTCCTGGCCATTTGTGCTGTCTTTCTATAAAGTGTTTGTAACATCTGCCCAATTTTATATTTGGATTGCTTTTGAAGTACTTCTTATTGAGGTTTTTTTTTTTAATGCATGCTAATCCTTCGTTAGTAATGTGTGCTCCAAATACCATTTTGCAATCATGATTTGTCTTTTCACTTTATTACAACTTTTGATGAATAAAAGTTCATAGTTTTAGGGGCACCTGGGTGGCTCAGTCATTAAACGTCTGCCTTCAGCTGAGGTCATGATCCCAGGGTCCTGGGATAGAGCCCCACGTCCAGCTCCCTGCTCAGCAGGAAGCCTGCTTCTCCCTCTCCCACTCCCCCTGCTTATGTTCCCTCTCTCGCTGTCTCTCTGTCAAATAAATAAATAATCTTAAAAAAAAAGTTCATAGTTTTAACGTAGACAGAAGAGCAATCTTTTTCTTTATCATTTATGCTTTTTTGTGTCTGCTTTTAAGAAGCCTTCCCTAGGGGCACCTGGGTGGCTCAGTCGGTTGAGCATCTGCCTTCTGCTCAGGTCATGATCCAGGAGTCCCAGGGTCGAGCCTCACATCAGGCTCCCCACTCAGTGGGGAGTCTGCCTCTCCCTTTGACCCTCCCCCTCTCATGCTCTCTCTCTCTCACTCTCTCTCTCTCTCTCAAATAAATAAATAAAATCTTTTAAAAAAAACCTTCCCTATCCTGAGGTCTTAAAGATATGATCCTGTATTTTCTTCTAAAAGTTTTAAAGTTTTGTTTTTGACGTTATGTCTTTTATCCACATTTTTTTTTGTTTATAGTGAGAAAGGAATTCAGTTTCATTTATTTTCCATTTAACCATTTATCCCAGCACCATGTACTGAATGGCCCATTATTTTTATTAAAGTATAGTTGACATATTCTTGATTACTAGAGCTTTTGAGCAACAGTATGTGATAGAATGCATTCTCCCATCTCGACTTCTTCTTCATCAGGGTTTTGGCTCTTCTTGGTACTCCATATAAACTTTAGGATAAGTTTGACAATTTTTTTTAAACTGTTGAAAATTCTATTCAAATACGCATTAAATCTAAAGAACACTTTGGGGAGAATTGGCACCTGCGTGCTATTGAGCCTTCTTATTCATGAATTTGGTATATCTCTATTTAGGTCTTCCTTCATG